AATTAATTACACATGCTTTTTGATTACTAATGTTTAAATAAAAAAAATAATAACTTGGGGGTTTAAAAATGTGATTGTTAAACTCTTGTTAAATTGTAAAAGTTTCATGATTTCAATTAATTGGATGCGTTTTGCGATTACTAAAAATAAAACCATTAACCAGAATCCAGGAAAAAAGAATTTCAAATTTCAAAGGGCCTTAAAGATGTAATTTAACGTTTAATAAACTGCATAGTCAATTTGATTAAATTAGACATACTTTTTGATTACTAAAATGTAACCATTAGGGGAAAAAAAAAAAAAATCCCAAAAAGCGGAAAGTGGAATCCAGGAAAATGAAAAAATAAACTGGAATTTGGGAACAAATACCACCGACTTCATCGAGCCCTCCTGATGCTCATTCTGCTGGAAAGCATAGAGGACGTCTCACCTGTGAAAGCAGGCCTGTAGCTTTCTCCTCCAAACTGAGCCATGACTCCGACGCCGTACGCGGCCGCCTGTCGCACCTCCGGACTGGTGTCACACAGCGCCTGCATCATGGGCCGCAGGAAGTACTCGGCGTATTTGAAGGAAGATGGGCTGCAGTGCTCGACGATGTCATCGAATATGCACAGACCCCACTGTCTGTCCGCCCAGGGTCTGTGAGGACACTGTCAGGAACACAACACCATAAACACTGTTATTCTATTATTCTACAGAAATATCCACTTTTGGTATGGCGAGATGTCTTCATTAATTTTTTTCCTAACATTTAAACTGATTAACTATATTAGATTACCTTTTGACTTTACGAATACACAAATGTGATCGTGGACCACAAAACCAATCATATAAGGGTCAATCTTTTGAAATTGAGATTTATACATCTGAAAGCTGAATAAATAAGCTTTCCGTTGATGTATGGTTTGTTAGGATAGGACAATATTTGGTTGAGACAACTATTTGAAAATCTGGAATCTGAGGGAGCAAAAAAATCTAAATATTGAGAAAATCATCTTTAAAGTTGTTCAAATTAAGTTCTTAGCCATGCATATTACTAATCAAATTAAGTTGATATATTTACAGTGGGAAATTTACAAAATATCTTCATGGAACATGATCTTTACTAAATATCCTAATGAATTTTGGCATAAAAGAAAAATCAATAATTTTGACCCATACAATGTTTTTTTGGGCTATTGCTAAACGTATACCCCAGCGACTTAAGACTGATTTTTGTGCTCCAGGGTCACAAATGACAGCTTAATGATTTTTTTTTTGTGTGCATTTATTAACCCATAAGGAAGGTGACACCAGTGACAATTCTCATGAAAAATGCATTTGATAAAATGTCTGCTGCAAGACATCAAACCGCAGTTTGTCCATCATGGTATACTCGCTAAATTTGGTTTAATCCATTTGTATTCTAGTTTTTTTTTTACAATTCCCTAAAAATAAAGTACAACTAAAAGCTTCAAATTAAATCATGAGAAATTAGAACATTTCTGATAACTGAAAAGAGACCGTGGACTTATTATGGGCCTTTCTTCATAGATCTTCAGGAAACCGAGAGGACGAAGCCAAGTGATGTCATCAGTGTGGTTTTTATTTCAAAAGAAACGTTTTTTGTTAAACGCTAACTAGAGATGCACCGATTGTAATTTTCTTGGCCGATTCCGATTTTTTTTGTTAGTCCGATCTGCCGATACCGATTTTTGCCGATTCCAATTTTCTTACTAAAAACTATAATTGACGGTCTCAAATTGTCATTTTTTCACTAACCTTATTAAATGTCATCTTTCACATCAAATTCTTACACTCTTTTATTCTAACTGAATTGAAACTGTAGAGCGGTTACCATTCAAATGAAATCAGTATCAACAAACTCCATCTTTGCACTGCAGGAAACACAGAAGCTGCATCTGAAGTGGCATTAGATGCATTTACAGACTGTTTGATGAAGATGAGCTGCCATAAATGCATTAACACCGCAAAATTTCGAATGCATAAAGAATTATTAGATTAAGGTTTAAAAATCTTTAAAAAGAAATGTTGGGAAAAATGCAACGAGTTTTAAATATGAAACCACACCAATAGATGGCGGCAAATGAATTAGGGCTATCAATTTTTAAAAATTAAAAAATAAATTAAAAAAATCCACATTCGAATGCAAAAACGTTGCATTCGAATTCTAGGTCCGTGTCAGCCGTCAGGCAGGCTTCTAAGTGGTGCACGAAATGCGACGACAATGTAAGCGTCAAGTTATTACCCACTAGATGCGGCGCTGCTACGTTGTTCATTCAATATATAGCGGAAAACGAGAGCATCAGTGTGGCGAATGTGGTTTACGGAGAAACTGAAACCAAGCCGTTCACACAGAATGCATATTTACCACATTTTCTAGCGGGGCATCTATCAGCGTTGCACTCGCGTCTCGCACAAGAGAGCCGCACGTTTAGAAAGCCATGTAAAATGAATGCAAGTTCAACTTAAACCATGTCTCAAGACTTTATGGCAGTTTTCCCCATCCCACTGCATCTTGTGTTTTTAAATGAAGAAAGTCGCCTACTCTTTGGTGATTGGTTTTCGGTTCTTTGCATTAAACTATACATACATTGTGCTCTTTTTTTTCTAATTGTTTAAGCAACTATTATATATGGTTCATAAACATTAAACATTATGCACTTTTTTTTCCCCCAAAGGTAGTCGTGTTATTTTATTATGCTTTGAAGAAACGTGCATTAGTGATATTTTGCTCTTGCGGCCTCCGAAGAGAAGCCAAAAGCTTTTTTCCCCCCCTAACTGAAATTATGCCTTTTCAATTCAAACAATTCGAATTTTGATCATATTTAAGTGGAAAATTCGAATTTAGTTTTTCAGTCATTTTGACAGCCCTAATGAGTCCTTTAGTCCTTCATTCAACAGATTCGTTCAAACAGCCGATTCATTCAGAAACATGGCAAGTGACTGTCTTTGTGAAAGGGTCACTGAATCAATGACTCACTTGATTCGTTCAAAAACGCAGAATCATTCAGTAACGAAACACTGCTGTGTTGCTCGGCGACAAAACAGTTCTGCTGTGGCTTTGATTGGAACTATTTTCATCAGTGAAATGGAGCAAAAACAACCAATATTGTGTCTAAAATGTAAGTCTCTTAATTTTAACTTGTTTATTGAACTACTATTGTATAAAAACACATTGCAATCGTGTTGAAACATTTTGGTCGTGTGTTGCGTACCTAAATCATACACATTTCTTGTATTTTTTTTTTTTTTTTTTTTTTAAATAAAAAAATATATCAGGCGCCACAAGGGTATCTCTGAGCAATGGTGTTTACTTATTGAATGAAATCAGCTTTTTGGACGAATCGGTTGAATAAATGATTCAATGGTTCAGTCATTAACACAGTCAAATGCTTTGTTCCTGAATGAATCAGTTGTTTGAATGAATCGGTTGAATCTTAATGACTCACTCATTAACAGTCACTTGCTGCCACCTACTGGCTCCCAAAACATACACATTTTTTTTGTTTTTTTTTTTTTTTTTTTTTTAAATACAAAAATATATCAGTCGCCACAAGTGTGACTGCAGGGGACCACTACTTTCATAATATACCTTATATTTATTCAGCATTTTGTTTGTTTTTTATGCCATTTACATCACATATTTGATAGTTATGAATACATTATTGTATTTTAAAATGGAAGAAAAAAAATTGATCTCAAAATAAAGCACTTTCGCTCTGTACATGGCTGTGGGGACGAGCAGTTTTGTGGAGCCTGGAATTCTAATAAAAAAAAAAATGTAAAAAAAGATTCCACATTGATGGCTCAAGGTGGTGTAATTGTTCAAATAACTTTAAAATATAAATTGTAACCCTAAAGTGTTTTTCAAGTGTAATATTTCCGTAAACGCTAGGGACATCGCTAAGATCCATCTTAACGGCAGACTTACGATCAGACTGACGATGAGCTGCAGCAGCTGCTCGAACCACGGGAGAACCTTCTCTCTGTAGCTGCTAAAGATGGAGTGCAGGATGTCCGAAACCTTGGTCAGGATGTAGACGTCATTGTCATCCTGAACATACAGATGAAGAGGAGCTTCACGATTAGTGATCTAAACCAATGAATTGCTTAGAAGAAACGCATGTTAGATGAGCTGCGCACCTCGTCTTGTAACGTCTCCTCAACCTGCTCATCATAGTCTTCATCTTGTCGTTTGGCTGCGGAGAACAGATACAATTAGTAAAACTTCACAAACCTGTATGACTATCCATATGAACATTTATGTCACGCAAACATATCAAAACACCAGAAATTAGGCCTTAAAGATTGCAATTGGCTGATAATGGCATTCCATTAGCCAACCAAAATAGTTTAATCCTTTCATCTTCCGAAAATTCTCAAATTACAGCACATAGTAAATCATCTTTTTGCAAGCTGTCATCAGTCAGAGGCTGTATTGTAAAATTGTGCAAGTTTCATGATTTCAATTAGACTTTACAAAAAAAGTGAAAAAAAAAAGCAATTTTGAAGTCAAAACTGAGAAAAAAAAAAGAATCCAGAAAAAAGAACTGGAAATTTCTTCCCCGGTAAGATTGGTTTTTGAAAAATTAATTTTTATTCATCAAGGACGCACTAAATTGATCAAAAGTGACAGTAAAGAAACTTTGCAAAAAAAACTTTTTGCAAAATATTTTAAATAATCACTGTTATTTTGAACTTTCTAGACTCAAAGAAACCTGAAAAATAAAAATGTATCAATGTTTAAAAAATCAGCAGCACAACAGTGAAATCAGAAATGTTTCTTGAGCAGCAAATCAGCATATTAGAATGATTTCTGAAGATCATGTGACACTGAAGAGTAATGGTGCTGAAAATTCAGCTTTGATCACAGAAATAAATTAAATTTTAACATGTATTCACACAGAAAACGGCTATTTTGAATTGTAACTTTTTTTTTAAACAGTATTTTTATCAAATAAACCGCCTCTGTGAGTGCTTAATTCCTGTGCGACTCACCTTGTCTGGCCTCCTGGTTTTTAAAGTGCTCCTCTAGTTTGCCTTTCATAATGCCACCCAGCTCCTCAAAGTGCTCGTTGTTCAAGCATCCGTCTCCCATCAGCTCGATGCACTAATGAGAAGACATTCACTTATTAAAACAAACAAACACTGGTGAACAAACAGCATTTGAACACGTGACTAACCTTGGCAAATGAGTGCATGATTTCTGACAGCACGTCCGAGTCGGGTTCGGTGCCGATGGATTTGATGAGGGCGTCACACATGAAGTGCCACATCTGCGTGAGGTATTCTGGGCCTCGGACGCGAGCGCACTCCAGCAGAAGAGGCATGGACTCGGCCGCCGCCACACGCACACGTGAAACACACGTTAAGGATGCTAACAGAGTCTCAGGTGCGTGAACGATCAACTCTGAACATGAGTTTTAAACTGGAGAAACTGAGAACCATCGGGGCTTATTGCAGTTAAACAAAACATTTATATTTAGTCATTTAGCAGACACTTATCCAAAGCAACTTACAAATGAGGACAATAGAGGCAATCAAAATTAACAAAAGAGCAATGATATGCAAGTGCTATAACAAGTCAGTTAGCTTAACGCAGTACACGTAGCAAGGTTTTATTTTTAAATCATATAATAAATAAAAAACAGATAGAATAGAAAAAGAATAGAGCAAGCTAGTGTTAGAGGCCTTATTTGCTTTTGTTAATCAGAAGTCAGAATTATAATTGTACAATAAATAAAAAGAAAACAAATATAGAATGCAAAAAGATTAGAAAAGCAAATTTTTTTTTTTTTTAAGAAAACAAGCAGTTAGTAAATAAATAGAGTGCAAGTCTAAAAGGGGCAAGTTTTTTTATTATAAAGAATAGAACTAGAATAGAGTGCTAGAGTTAGAGGGAAACAAATCATTACTTGGAAAAATAAGTTGCAAAACAAAAAAAAGTTAATGTACTAAAATAACTAAAACTGAAAAGATTTATAGCTATAGACATACATAAACTTAAATACATTTCCAGTTTTTATATTTCTGAAAGTGAATCAGGTGTAAAATTGTGTATTTCTTATTTGCGAAAACTAAACTGCATGCTATACAGTCTAAACGCATTATATTTATATTTTATTAAAAAAAATATTATAAATTAAATTATATTTTAAAACATTAATAATAATAATATAGATATTTTTATAGACCATAAAGTAAAATTGATTTATTAAAATTGCAACCGTCTTAACAGGTTACCAATTACTACAGTAGCTGTAAATTTAAATCAATACTTCTATATTTTATAACCCTAAATAACAATAGTTATATAATCGGTTGTCTTATCAGAATGATTAATTACTACAGTAGTTGTAAATATTATTATTGGTTAAGATATAGAAAAAATTTACAATTTATTACAATAGCATTAAGTGAAAGTCTGAAGAAAATATATATAAAAAAATTTTTAAGTACAATATTCTACTTATACACAGATACATGGATTTAAACCATAAGTGTCTACGATGCCTAAACACACAGCTTGTGCAGACAGCTCACTCACTATCAAGCAGGGCCACTTCAGGTTTGATGGAGGCCGTCTTCATCAGCGGGCCCATCACCACAGGCAGGTACTGCTGGAACTCCTTGCCCAGGATCTTACACATGCGCGCCCAGGCCGAGATCATGTAGGAGATCTGCAGGCACAAGACAGCAGCTCAAACACACAAGACCAAGTCTAGTTTTGAGATCAGGCTCCATGATGTGCTCGGCTGGTGTTTGCTGACCTGTGGATCATCATCCTCCAGATCATTGAAATCAGTCTGTGTCTTCAGAAGCAGCTGCATCACAGCTGAAGCATCCGGCATGAACTGCAAGAGAAGCCACGCAACAGGGTTGGATACAAGTTAGGCGTTTACACAACCGAACATTGTTCAGATGCAATCACACAGGTGAAAAGAGCGGGTAGTTGGCATAAGCGAAATGATTTAATGGGCTGTATTCATTTGTCAAGGTTTAAAAAAGCAGATAAATAAAATAAAATTGATGAATGTGATTAGCTTTATTTAAGTGTAAATAATAAAATGGACTAAGTTTAAAATAAAATTGATGCATTGTTTTCAGGATCTTCAATTTTTCCATTCGAAAGTGTAGTTCGCTTAAGCCAGATAAATTCACTTGTCAAGGTATAAATAAATAAATAAAAAGACAAAAATGGATACATGACTTTTGATCTATTATTTATTTTACTTCAAAGGATAAATTAAAATAAAGATTAATAAAAAATAAATTAGATAGATAAGTCAAGAAAATATAAAAAATATAAATTGGGTTTATTCAAATAAGTTCACTAAAATATTTATATTCAAATAAACTTAAAGCAATAATGTAAATTAATAAAATACAGTTTAAAAAAAAACAGTTGTCCAAATGAAGTTCTTAGCAATGCATATTAATAATCAAAAATTAAGTTTATATATTTACAGTAGGACATTTACAAAATATCTTCATGGAACATGATCTTTACTGAATATCCTAAAGATTTTTGGCATAAAAGAAAAATCAATAATTCTGACCCACACAATGTATTGTTGGCTATTGCTACAAATATACCCCAGCGACTTAACACTGCTTTTGTGCTGCAGGGTCACACATGATCACACAACACCTCCTAACATCTGAATTGAGGGTCAATTGAATTTCAATTCAGCAAACATTCCTGAATTAAAGCTGAACAGACCCTAATCCAGATCAAACTACATCTCACCGCGTTAGCTTTGTGCACCTAACGGAAGAGAAAACATGAAGAAACTGCAGTTTCCAGTCGCTGACTTAAACTCATTAAAGGAGCAGCTCGGGATACAAACTCCATATAAACGATCCAATAAACGAAAGAGACGGGACGCACCTCCTGGAGCTTGGCCACCATGATGACGTGCAGGTGCTGGACAAGGCTGTCCAGATAGGGGATGAGCAGGGTTTTGGGACAGTCCTCGGTGAAGTTAATGAGCGCAGCGGCGGCGTGGGCCTGGACGCGAGGGTTCGACTGATCCTCCATGGTCTGCAAGAGCGCCGAGATCACCTGCAGATACAGAGAGCAATGAGAATACAATACTTTAAGGGGACAATTCAACCAAACAGGACTGGCACAGCTCATTTTAGGTTTAAAAATAAAATTGAAGCCGTAATTTAAATAATCAATATTTAACTACAACAATTATTAATAATAGTTATCATTACTACTAAATATTATAATATAATTATAGTCTTAATATCCGTTTATCCCTTTTACTACTATAATTACAAAATACTGATTCATTTAAATTTAATTTGGTTACAGTAGTTGTAATTTATCAATATTACCATATTTTAAAACCACTAATAACAATAATAAATCAGTCACTATTACTGTTAATTAGTAACATTGATTTAAATTACATTTACATTATTTTTAACCAATAATAATAATAATAATATACATAGTTATAGTAATAAAAACAACTTGTTTTTATTACTACTACTTTAATTACTTGGTATCAATAACACTGGTTTATTTAAATGTATTAACTTATTTACAGTAGTTGAAATTTAGCAATTACTGTATTTTATAGCCAGTAATAATAATAATAATAAATCTCCATCACTATTATTGTTAATAAGTAACATTGATTTAAATTACAACTACTGTTTATTATTTTTAGTCAGTAGCAGTAATTTGTATTAATCTATTATATTTTAACTAATAATAAATAACAGTTATAATAATAAAAATAACTTGTTTTATTATTACTACTGTAATACATTTAAATAAATCAGTGTTAAGTTATTAACTTATTTACAGTAGTTCTAATTTAGAAATTTCTGTACTGTATAACACTAATAATAATAAATCTTCATCACTATTATTGTTAAGTAATGATTTAAATAATTAGTTTTAGTAGTAATTTACATAATTACTATATTTTAACTAATGTCATCATTTATGTTTTTACAGTAAGAAATAATTTTTCAATTATATCCTATAACATTAAAGTTATTGCTTATTTTAATCACTACATTATATCATAGTAATATTAATTTATATTTACTGCTACTACTATAACGTTATTGTTTGACCATTATTATAATAATATTGATTTAAATTTACTAGTACATCTACTACAACCACTACTAATATAGTTGTAATTTACATTAATCAACTCCTATATTTAATAAACAATAAAAATAAATTACTATTAAGTATGACAACTATCGTATTAATGGTTAATGCATTTATGCTGCACAATTTCCCTCCCCAAGCAATACACGAGTTCAGCAAATTCAGTAAATTAATATAAAAACCATCTCCCAGCGATACCTTGTCGTGGAATTTCTTCTGGAAGGTGGGGGCGAAGTCTGTGGCCATCTGTCCAATAGCGTTGCAGGCGGCGTAACGAACCCTGGGGTGCTGCAGGGGGTCGGAATGAGGCTCGGTTTAGCGTCTGTACTCGTTAACACACATCAGAAATGAAGTGCTGTGATTGTTCTTACAGGATCCTGACAGAAGAGCAAAACAAAGCTGACGATCTCGCTCAGAATGGCCTCCATCTGTTGGTGACAGCCCTCGCCGATAGCAGAGAGCGCCATCAGACCGGCGTGCCTGTACTTCCAATCGGCTGAGGGGAAATGAAACATTATGAACAAAATCTCATTACTATAAATGCAATCACAATAATAGATCCTGACGCATCTGCTCACGGTTCTGCAACATCTGCATGATGTGCTGTTTGATCATGGGAAGGACGATCTTTCCTCCGAGGCCACATGCAATCCTGTCCAGAGCGCTTTCACCCGCAACGGCATTACTGAACACCAGACCAGACAGAGTCAAATTACACTTAAAAACACCTAGCACCAGCAGCAATGAAGCTTTATTGACAGGTATTTCAAAGCAATAACGCCTGCACTTACAGCAGAGTTTTTGAAGGTACATTTCGGACTTTAAGACCAATTATAGAACATTTAAGGAGTAAAAGATACAATACATTAATGATCTTTAAATGTCTACATGTAGAGTTGAATTAGCAACACTTCAAGGTTTGAATATACCATTATAGTTAACATTTTGAATTTACTTATTTTTTAATAACCTCTTTTTATTTTAGTTCATTTTAATAATTTCGTTGTGTTTTTTGGCAGTTTTGGGTTAACGTCTATAGATTATTAAAAAATTGTTACTACAAATTAAGCTAAATTTGACATTTTGGCTTGTCAACTGCTGAAATAAAGTCTCTCTCTCTATCTATCTATTAGGGATGCACCAATATGAATATTTTGGCCGATACCGATAACCGATTATTCTTTATTTTTGAAAGCCGATAACCGATATGTTGGCCGATAAATCTATATCCAAATTGTTATATACTTTGAGCCTGACTACAAAAAAGGTCTCATCATTAAAAGCCACATCTCAAACACTTCAACATAAGCAGCCTAGTTTGAACGGTGTACGTTTTAAAAATATTTTTACTTTCCCATTACCAAATTT